GCATCTTGATCGATTTGGGCTTGGGCTCGATTTGCCCTATTGGTCTCCCAGTTTGAAATTTCTTGGAGCCTATTTGCAGCATTTCTAATATCAGTAAATTCGCCATCAATATTTCGAGGTATAGCAGGTACTCTATTTAATATACTATTGATATTATTGAATGCATTATGAACTGTTTCACCAAGGGTCTGGATCTCATTTGCATTAGGTGCTCGAGCCATGGCTAGCTTTTTTTTTTTTCGCGATGTTATATCTTGGATTCTATTTTTTAGGTCAATTATTTCTTGTTGAAGGTTAGATATTCGGCTATCTAAAATAACCAAGGATTCTTCTTTATACTCTGTATCTAACAATGCTTTTTTAAGGCGTTTTTGTAAGTCCATATTATTTTTACGAAGAATTTCTAGCTCTTCTAGCCCTTCATCCCTATTTGAGATTTCTTTTTCCAAATAGTTAATATATGCTTCATTAGATAATAGCGTTTTTTCTAGCTTTTGAATTTGTACATCTAATGATGGCATCTTGTGATCCTATAGTTCTGATAGATCCTATGGCCGAAATTAACTTGATTTGTAAGCTAATTTATTATAGGCCTGAAGGTTATTATAGAACGGCTAAAAAATTTTATGAAGCATGTAAAAAAGCCGAATATAACTTTCACCCAAAAAAATATTTACGAGGATGGCTTCATAAACAGGCAATTTGGCAGATACATGCTCCTAAACCTCAATATATTCCGTATGCGTCATTTAACAATATTACTGTACCAAATGAAGTCCTACAAGCTGATGTCCTTTATACTCCCTATGATAAAATCGGAAAAATTACATATTTATTTTGCCTTACTGTTGTAGATGTAGCTTCACGTTTTAAATGGGCTGAGCCTATTGGAACTACACTTGATACAAATGATGATTACTTTTCTCTGGAGGGCATTTTAACTTCAGCCGTGATTGCAGAATGTTTTGAGAAAATTTTTAACAATCCGAAATGCCCTCTTATGTGGCCAAAATTATTAATAACGGATAAGGGCTCTGAATTTAAGGGCGATTGTGAGAGGCTATTTTTGAAAAATGGCGTAAAAATTCAGAAGGCTAATTCGAAACGTACTATGGGCATTGTTGAAAGATTTAATCGCACTTTATCTGAGAGATTA